GCAGCGCAGGTGAATGGGGCATTGCACCCAGCTCGGTGTGTCGGCGTCGCCAGTGTCAGCACTCTCGGCGGTTCGGCACGGCTCGGCGGCCCAGAGAACGACAGCAACGATCGCAACGATCGCAATGAAAGACCGGACCCCGGTGAAGGTCGATCTTAAACAGCAGAACCAAGTACATTAGGTTACAGAGAATAATTGCACTTGACGCACGAGGGTTCCCGCCAGGCCAGAAATACTTTCGCCATTGTAAGGTGAACAATGTATCGGCAGGAGCAGGTAGCAGCTGATCATCGATCGGAGTCCCCTCGGTCAATGGCCTTGCAATGCACCGTCAACCGACGATCCCTTTCATGGGACGCGACGTACCTACGAGGTGTTAATAAAAATCGGACAATCCCCTCTCTCTTTTTCACGATAAGAGTATCGTTTTGTACTCCCGAGTTTGTTAAAATTTCAAAAGAAAGTACTACTCGGTGTCCCTACAAATTTTCAAAGTAACCGTACATTTCGAACAATCATGGAGCAAAGAAGATTTTCATTATTTCTTTTTGTTCTTTTTAAACGAAACTTTAGTCTCGGAATTCGAGAGTCTGCCAGTCGACGAGAACAAGGATCCTTTGCAATCGGAGAAAAGAGACGAGCAAGGTGTGCATGTATCGGCATAGGCATAGGGCACGGGGCCTTGTCACCGCGTGCAGAGCCTTGTAGCAGGACCTCAAGTTTATCTGTGGTAAGCGAGTGTCAGTGGGTCGACACCCGCAAACCGGTCCCGATCACGTGGAATGCTAGCCTGCGGTGCGATGTTGCCACATATATGCATCATTTCCTAAAAGTGCATCTAGCAGGCCTGCTAAGCGTGCACGAGGCACATATGAACGCACACTCGCGCGCTGTCCCCGCCCCCCTCGCGCCAACGTTCGTACAATTTCCAGAAAAACTGTGACTTTGGGGCTTCGAGTTGGCAAGTTTCATCGACCGACCGCTGAAATAATATCCAGAACTTGCTTTCCTGCGACCTTTGCTCGTGTTCACGTAATCCCGTATCATCCGCGACGCATGACACATTCCTCCGCAAATTATCCAAACTATCGGTAATACGTACGATACTGTACAATCTACGATCTAATCGACCAAAGCTACAGAATTGTTGCACGTTAACATGTATTCGATGTCGTACCTAACCGGATAGATCGTGACTTCCTCTGCCGCGAAGAAAACGAAAAAACGGTAAAGCGGAAGAGCAGCAGAGTAGCGTCGGAGAAAATTGTATGTGCAACGAGCTAACTGCCAACGTATCCTTTTGGTTGCTTTCCAACGGCGTAGAAGCAAAGAAGCAAGCATGGCGATTTCAACGCCAGGTCAAACTAGAAAATGCCATATAATTTACGGATCTATGAGCGACGTTCCCGTCAGCACGCGACGCTTGGACAACCCTACCCTCCAAGGTCATCCCTCTTCTATTCTCTGCCGCGCGTCCTTTTTATGCCTGCCCAAACGGGATGGTAGGGACTTTTTATACGCGATGTGTCCTTGGAACCTGACAATGGCTGCGTGTTTCCTGTGAGGCACCTGTTGTATCGTTGCTCTTTTCCTGGCCACGCCTAATGTGCACATCCGACGCAACCACGTAATCGACGAGACGAAGCATTTTTTCCGCTTCCCCTTTCCCCGTTACGCCAACGCCACCAACGGCAAGCGGACAAAAATAGCCTGATGGAGGGAGAAAGAAAGAAAGAGAAAGAGAGAGAGAGAGAGAGAGAGAGAAATAGAGCGAGAGAGAGAGAGAGAGAGAGAGAAATAGAGAAAGAGAAATAGAAAGAAAAATAGAGAG